TGGAATTTATTTAATATTGGCAAGCATAGAAAAGCAAAGTAACATCTGTAAAAACTGCTCTCTAAAGATGTATTTGATGTATCTTTTAATGAGCAAAAATGCAAGAATTATCCTCAATACTTGAGGTGAAAATCGGACTCAACCACGTCTTCTGGCAGTACTCTCTGTCACATGCACAGGGCCAGGACTGCAGGCTTGGTGTTTTAAATAGAGGTGGACCAGAGCTCTGGCTCCCTAAAGAAGTTGAGATCTGAATTAACACAAAATATTTCACTTGGAATATGGATTTTACATTTCTGCTATATTTTGTGCCACTTGCACTACATTTTTTTGGCCTGTTTGTCCCTGTCCTTCAGCTAGATACAAGCAGGTGTGGTTTATTTTAATCCACTGTGCTTTGCGGATTAATGTGTCCAACTCCATCAAAGGTTTGGAGAATGTTCAAATGAGTTTCCTTGAGTTAACCCTTGCACTTTCAAAAGTGTCTGTTATTTCATATATTACACACCGTAAATGTACTGTTATTCACAGCACTTGCTTTGAGTTTGATATATAAAGGGAATTGTGTTTGAGGTATAAAGGGTAGGGTATGCACACGCATAGCTTAAAAATATATATATCTTTTTTAATTATTCCTCCGTAGCATGAGGAATTTACAGGATGTGCTTGTTGTCTGAAGAATGTGCTTGACGTGGTGGAATTGTTTAGAAATCTTGTCAGAGTAAAAAGCTCCTTGTGCTGTCTCTGTTTTCTAACAAAATAAAAGAGACCACACACTGCTTTCTGGCTTTGAACTCGAGTGACSTATTTGAGATTATAGCCACATACCTTGGTTATCTTTCTCCCAAAAGAGCGTTCTGTGGGATAAATCTCTGTTGTGTGGATTGATGAGGCCGCACCTGGAGTATTGTGTGCAGTTCTGGGTTCCTCAGTACAAGAGGGATGTGGAACTTCTAGGAAGGGTCCAGCATAGAGTGACAAAGATGATTAGGGAACTGGAGYATCTCTTGTATGAAGAAAGACTAAGCGAGCCGGGACTATTTAATCTAGAGAAGAGAAGATTAAGAAGGAAACTGATCAATATGTATAAATACCTGAGGAGAGAAGGTAAAGAAGATGGGACCAAACTCGTCTTGGTGGTGGCCAGTGACAGGACAAGGGCTAAGGGATACAAATTAAAACACAGGAAGTTCCATTTCCATGTGAGGAAGAACTTCTTCACTGTGTGGGTGACAGAGCCCTGGCACAGGCTCCCCAGGGAGGCTGTGGAGTCTCCTTCTCTGGAGATCTTCCAAATCCACCTGGATGGCGCCCTGTGCCCCGTGYTCTGKGTGTCCCTGCTGGAACAGGGGAGTTGATGATCTCTAGAGGTCTGTTCCAACCTCCACCATTCTGTGATCTCTACAGGTCTCTTCCAACTTCAAGCATTCTGTGTGCTCTTTCTGAACCATGCTTGACTATTATCTGAAATAGCACCAGTTGCCAAGGACTGGTACCACCGCATGAGGGAACTTGCTGGTAGTTAAATAGTTTGGACTGTCAGGGGCTGATGTCTCAAGTCTGTGGCATGGCCATGTTTTAATTCTCCAGAAATTTGCATGTGTTAAAGCCATAAATTGTGTTCATAAAGTGCCATTATTACAAAGGTGAGCATTTTGAATTAAAGAACCTTTCTAGTTCAGCTGTTCAGATATTTGGAAACAGCTACAGAAACCTGATCCTGGATTAAGCAATATCAAAGATGTATGCCCTAGAAAGGATTCCTGATGGTTAACTTGGACAGGTGGCTTTCAGAATCTTTACCAGACAAGATTTTGCTTCATTTTTGGTATAAAGTGGAAAAAAAAAAACTTTGAAGTTTTGCATCATGGGGAAACTATTTTCCATTCAGATTTACCCCTGGCTCCTATGGTAATGCTGAATTCCTTTGAGTATTTGTGCATATCTTGTTCTGGATTCTCTTTTACAGCTGTATGCTTTCCTTGCCCCAGTTCTGGCTGTGTGCATGTGCCATATGCCATGTACGGAATGGTATGTGACATATATTAATCTATATGGATGGCCTTCTGCTTCTGACCTTACAAACTGTCCACTTCAGCACTGTCATTCTACAAAATGTCCAAATGCAGTCCAAGAAATGCATTTTAAATGTGGATGCAAACATTTCTATTACTGATAACACCAGCACAGCATTTTTTGCTTTGTTGGGATTAGGACCTTGATAGTTAAAGTTATAGGCTTAGTAATGACAATCCAAGGTCGTGTCCTTTATTGACATGGTAAAGCAAGGAGAGCCCTTTGCTACGTTTCTGCTGATAAAGTTGAGAAGGATTATTCCAGTTGTTTGGTGACATACATTAAAAGTGAAAGAATATATTTGTGACCAATAAATATTTCAGGCGATGAGCACTGGGAGGAATTAACATKCTGTACCACAGGCAAGTTGCGTTTAATTCATGCTGAAAGCCTGAATTTAGGAAGTGTTGTGAAATCTAATAACGCTCCTGATGAATGCCTCCATCCTCAGTGAACAGCCATCCTCTCACATGAGCTGTAAAAGATCTGCAGTTCAGCTAGGGACACCTTAAAAAAACCAAAAGGTGCTGTGGGCTGCAGAAACAGTCGCACGGGCAATTCCAAAGTAGAAGGCAAACTTCCCAAAAGTAACCTGGCTCTACAATCCTCCTTTCAGTTTCAGTTTTTGTAAAACACGTTAATAATCTCTGTAGAATCTATCTGCCTTTGAGGAGTGTATTAAGGAGAAATTAAATAATATCACTACAGTGTTTCGAATGTTTTTTATATATGCAGCTCTTAYAATACAGCTTAGTAGGTAGGACTGCCATTTTGCAAGACCTTCGCACAGAGGAGCTGTCCTGTTGCTCTTTAGGCTCTCTGRTCTTCTCATCCACTTTGTGTTGACTGGATGAGTCTAGCAAAGGGATGATGATTCCAGGAGCTACCACTTGTTAGTGGATCTGCCATAGCCGAGTACACTCTTTAGTGTGAGAAGTTGATTTAAGTTATCACGTGGTACTTCACTGTTGAGCCTACCTGGGGGCACACGGGCATGCTCTGTCTGCTGAAGGAGCAGTAACTCGTTACAACACTGTCACTTGATTGAGATCCAGCATAGCCTAATGAGGGTCAGGAGGAGGGTGATCTCTGGGAAGCGCCTCACACCCCTCCAGGTATGCCTGACTCTGTTAGTCTGATATCTCCACATGATGCTTTATTAGGGATGGATTTGCAGGGACTGTTGTGTTCACCTCCCAGGATTTAAATAAGCAGAGGTCACGTCAGATACCTGTTATTCTTCATAACACAGTTCATGTGTGTATTTTTTTTTAATTTATCTCTAACAAGAGATTCAAGTTCATCTAGCTTGGATAGATCTCAAAAAAAAAAAAAAAAAAAAAACCCACTCAGTAGTCTACCCACAAAACCACTGATATTTTCACTAAGCAGCTATTTTAGAGCTAATTTTACATTGCATTGTGCATTTCTCATTGATATAATATAAATTAATAGCTGAAATCAATAAGAATTGCATGTATTTGTTTGGAGACAAATTTTCCTTCAAGTTTCAAGAACGCTTTAGCCTGATTTACTGAGGAAATGAGTCTCATGAATAGCACTGGCTATCCATCTCTCTCTCTCTATCCATCGCTCTGTACCATACCTAATGACTTTGAACCAATTGTCCAATTTCAATGAAATTTATCAGGAATAAAGACATCTAAAAAGATAATAAGTTCCTAAATTGAATGAGAATCAGCAGATGGATTGACAAAAACTACCTTGCTAATATTCCTGCTGAGGAAAAAAGAGAGAGAATTCAGCCATAATCCATCCTGCTTCTCAGCAACCCTAAAGGTCTAGTCAAAGTATGTGATAAGGGACATGAGGGAACTGGGGCCATTGCAGGGTAGTGGATGTTGAGCATGAAGAAAAGAAAAAAAAGGAACTAAGGGCCCTGAGAGGAAAAACTGGAAGTTTTGCAGTGGAATAGATGTTTTCTTGGGCTATTGTGGTAGAGAAAATCAGAGGAGACGCAGTGAGCAAAATGAGACTACTGCAACAGGAAAGATGGAAGAACCCAAAACAGATATCTCTGACTCTATCTGCATTCACTGTTGTTCGAAGAAGTTTGCTTTTATTCCCAAGTTTCATCAGAAGTTCATTTCAGATGCTCTTATAACTTGCAAGAAGGGCCTTACAATAATAAATTGCTTCAGTCTACTCATAATTCGATCAGAATCTTTCCTAAAGTATGTTTGACACTTATTTTAGTATTAATTTTTGTACAGGCATTTTCACACTTTAGGAAATCACTTTATTCTCAAATGTCAGAAATGTATCTTTCTGGGATTATTTGCCCCAGAAATGTTAGCGAAAATGTTATCTAATACCAGCGTTCCCATTTTCTATGCTCTACTTATTTGCCGTCCAAAGTAAGTCACATCTTTATGAACATGTCTTCAGGAGCCATATCCTGAAAGGCACCACTATCTCTTTGGTCCTCATTGAGATCACACAGAGTAATAGGTGGTCATCTAAAGTGCCAGATAACAGTAAATCAATTAAAAATACATAGGTAGGTAAATTCGGTCAATAACTTTGTATGGTTGGATTGTTGAAAGCTAGACAAATAGGATATATATTTGCATTATTTCACTCTCGTTAATCCTGTCTACAGATGAGAGGTGGGAACAAGCATCACCCTGGGGCCAGAGGGTGGCCCAGAACAGTTTCATGCACGTTTAGTCACAGGGGATTTGTTGGGGGTACAATGGCCAATGCCAAAATGTGTAAGTGATGTGTGGCTCACCAAATGTGTTTGAAAKTCCTAATTACCACAGTAAAGGAAAGGCTCATTTTCCACCATCAGCCTGTCGTATCTGTCTCTCTGCACATATTTTGCTTAAGATTGTTCTAATGTGCCTAAAACAAATAATTACATGTGGCAAACGTTTCACTTGCTGTGTTGTTTCCTCCAGATCATAGGAACGATCCCRCTGATGCCTAATCCAGTCCCCTCCAACCAGGCGGCAGGTGGAGCTCAGGGCCTTCAAGTGCAGCCGATTACTCCACAGTTATTGACCAATGCCCAGGGTCAGATCATTGCTACTGTCATCGGCAACCAGATACTCCCCGTGATCAACACCCAGGGAATAACACTATCTCCACTCAAACCAGGCCAACAGGTAATGTGTCTGTAGTCTGAACAGTTGCAAAAACAAATGTACAGGAGAAGCAACACCTACTCCTCGCTGACTCTCACAGCCTCTGAAAACTTTATTTCTCTGTTTTCACTAACAAAAGATGTGTAATTTATATGTAATTATAATATAATGTGAGATAAAAAGTTACACATTCAGGATTATCCAGTTGGACTTTTTCTTTTCTTTTAAAGGTATGTAGGGTCACCTAGAAATTTTCTCTTAACTTCTGTCCCTGAGATAGGAGTGTGAAACAGGAGAGACCTTATGGCCCATAGAGTTTACTCCTTGGTTACTGGTCACTCAGAAAACAAAAATAAATGMAACTATTAGCCTGCTTCACTGGAAAAAGAGAAGGGTTTGTGCATATTTGTACAAACAGAACAAATTTTTAGATGAATTAYTCAATGGAAGCATGAGGTAGTTCACAAATACAGGGTAGGTGCAGCAATTTCACTAAGGTCTGAAGAGATTTTTGTAGTTTTTTTATAGYACTCAGGTCAAAATAATTAATGTTGTCTACATCTGTAGAGCAAAGAATTGCAGTGCCACCTTTTTTCTCTGTAAGAGAGGAAATAAAAGATGGAAAAGACAACAAATGTGATTGCCAAAAAGGCACTTATGAAAATGTCACTCACTCACATGTTCCCGTTAGCATTTCTATTGCTGGGAGTACTTATTTGCTAGTGCTGTCCACACCTCCAGCCCTAGTTAGCAGCCGTTTGTAGGCTTGGTAAATCCCAGGGCCACTTGAGCTCCAAATCAAGATTTTTTTTTCTGAATTTTAAATGTGGAGAGCCAGCGGATCCCTAAAGCAAATTTTTTGTTAGTTTGTTTTGAAGATATTTCACATCCAAATAGTTACATTCTTTTTTTGCCATGCTATCCTCTATGGTATTTAGCAGAGGCATTTTCCAAAGCACTTGGCATTTATCTACCTCTATTTTCTTTAATGGGAATAGACTTCTACTACTGGCAAGTGCTTTTCAATTGCTGCACATATGTGGTTTTAAACAAAGAAAGATACATGGAGGGCAGGCTGTGTGTTTCCAAGGCTAGAAAGCCTATGAACTAAAAAATCCAGCAGTTTACATTTGGGGACTTTTTTTTTTTTTTTAGGTGTCTAGCACCTGAAGAGGTTAGATCTTCCCCTCTTTTATGGAAGGAAGCTCTGAAAAACCATCACAATCCTGAGATCCCATTAGAAACCCATGAAATTTAGAGCTAAGCAGAGAACAGAGGTCCTCTATTATTCTCAGAGATCCCCTGGCCTACAGAGCAGCACATCTTCTGGCACAGCTATGAGCTATGTTCTCTCTTGAGTCTTGCAGCAAAGGAACTTCTAGGCAGAGTCTGCCAGAAAAATCAGTAGGCAGAGAGGAGAGAGACACGACCCTTTCTTGCATTGCTAGTGGCATGGAGCTCACATGGAGGGACAAACTCTTGCTGACTGGGGCATCTTGCTGAACGATGGCTGGGTTTGTGTTGGAAAGCCACCATTTAGCCTTGTYGTGCTCTGCTGTAGTGGCTCACCCAATCTGAGCATTCAAGTGCTCTCAGGAGAAATTAACAACTTGCTCAGGTTTCTGGTTCTGTGCAAGAGTCAAAGATGAGCCCTGTATCATCACACGAGAAGAGCTGTCCTGATATACCAAGCAGTGCTATGTGATTAGAAAACATTTTCCTAAGATCAGTCCTGTGGAGTCCAGCCTGTGCCTCTCATGCAGTCAGATTGCTGAGGTCCAGGGGGTTGCAGGAAGGGCTACCAACAACACAGACCCTCCTTACTTTCATCTAGTGGAAACCCATCTAGAAAGTACTCTTGATCAGGGGAAAAAGAAAAGATAATACAAATACTATATGAAAGAAATACTGTACATTATAATTTTTTAGGAGCTACAGAAAATTATTTCTGTGTATTTGTGCTCCCTCTACTGGTTCTTCTGCTTTTATTGAAGGCCTCTAGTAGTGTCAGAGGAAATTTTGTCATTGATTTCAGCAGCAGAATTGAAGCATGAGAGACAGATCCTTCTTAGGAAGAATATTGGTGAACATTAAAAAGCAATTAAAAAGGTAGTACAATACTGACTGCCATATCATTTGAAAAGTAAATGGAATTATACGTTATGTAAGGAGATTATGAATTTGTCTTACTGTCTGGGTAGCAGTTTACCCAAACAATTGTTTTTTGGTAATGGTAGCATATCTAATCCTAAATTCAAAATATAATTTTCAGAAGGTCTGAGTGCTGAAACTCAGAGGGCTCTGCAAAATATTATTGAATCTGGGGTCCTACTGCATTTCATGCCTTGTAACTTGATAAAAGAAAATTCAGAAGGGGGAAAAAAAAGTACGAGGCAAGTTTTGGAAAAGTTTAAGAATGTTGCAGAGAAATAAATAATGTTCCAGTTATAGATGATCTTAGGTTAACTTCCAACTTGTCATTTTCTTAGAGACTAAATGCTCCAGGAGAAAGGGAGGAGAACAGGAGAACAGGCAAGGGATGATAGGAAGTTCCTGCCTGCCTGTCAAGCCACAATAACTGAACCTAGAGCCTAATTCAGTTGCTAAGTAATGTGCTTGTGCTTACTTTTCGTGCAAAATCTGAAGACTTAGATGCCTCAGATATTGTGTTAGTCAGTTTTACTTGGTCAGACTRCATGAGTTATTTATTCATACAACTTTTTCAACATTGACAGACTAAAATCTTAATGTGCCCTCATGGAAATGAGTTCCTGGATTACTTGTCTGTAGTGTAAAGCACTGCTGCTTTTTTATTGTAAATAGATTACTTTTTAATCTACAGAAGTAATCCAAGAAGTAACCCTATTACTTCAGTTTTAGAAAATAAACTTCTGATTTATACTAYGCACAGTAGGGACTGTTTATATGCAGTAGTTACAGCTTCAGTGCTTTAACAGTTTTTGAAGATTTTGCTCATCTAAACAGTATTACTGAAACACACACTGAGAATTCTCCCAGAATTTGTAATGGCTTTCTAGAGAGGGTGACAGTTCATGCTCCTGTTATGGTCCCTTGTCTTTTTTTATCTCTGTTCATAAACAAGTTTTTCAGTGCCTCTAATAATTTTAGGCCTGTCTCTCCACTATTTCAATTTCCACAATAATCTCTTCAAGATTTTGTGATCAGAACTGAATGCCGTGATCACAGTGAGGATGCGTCATTGATTTACCATAACAGCATTATAATATTTTYAGCATTATTTTCTATCTTTATCTCAATACAGCCAACCATTCTGCTTTTTTCCTATCTCTGCTCATTGAGTAGTTTTTTTTTAATAAACAGACATACCTACCACGATACATCTGTGCTTCCCTGGTTGCTACCATGTTAGTCACTAAAATGGCTCCTTTTAATGTGAACCATTTTGCACCTATGTGTTATGTATATTGTCTGCCACAAGGCTCCCCAGGTTCTGCATGTTGCTTTTCATGGCATTCTGCACTCACCTAGGAAAATCCGTGCCTCCTGCTGCATCAGCTTCACCATCCTGTCTTGCCGCTTGCTAAAACCATTCAACAAAGTTTGGTATGAATCCTTTAGACTCCTCTTGTCCTCTTTCCTTGGAAAAGGATGTTCTGTTCCCTAATTTGTGTTTCTTTGATTTTAAGCTGTTTTTATGCCATAATGGAAGTGTAGCCTAACTACTATGCTTCCTTTATGCCTCAAAGGAGGGACATGTTATATGGCTAAACACTTTTTTTTCTCCCAAGAATAGGTGAACTTGTTGTAGCAACTTGTTAACACTGTCATTTTGATTCCAAATTTAAAACCTTGTTTTAAGGGGTTCCTTTGTGTCTTTAATGACCCATACTTAGACCAGCATGGCTGACTGAAGGACTTTGCCATGAACTAGAGTCTTACAACAGTCACAAATTCATAGAGAACTCGTCTTCCCCAGCTTTAGCTATGTAAGAAGGGTTTTGTGAATGCTGGTAGCTAGATGACCATTAGAAACAAAGATAGGCCTTCTCATAGATAGGATATTTTAGGATTAAATAAAAAATTACTATTTTACTGAATGAGTAAAATTAGATAAGAATCCAAGTGCAAGAGACTGTTGGGACTCAAAACGCTTTCCCATTCATGAATTCCTTAAGTTAGCTTTCCTAATAATTGGTGTTATAAAAACTAATTGTTTGCCCAGAGAACACAAAAGGAATTTTTGCRTGTGGCATTGTTTTCCAGTGTGCCTCATCAAGATGGTTCCCTGCTTGCTGTTGTTTGGCTATTCCCTGCCACATACTAGACTGAGTAAATCTGGCTGGTAGTTGCACTTGTCCTCAGTCTAGTTTTACCTATTGTACTTGCCAGAACCTTTCATATTTCACTGGGTCACACAGCACTAACAGCTTTGGGCTTCTGCCAACTCCAACACACACACACACAAATAAATAAATAAATAAGAGCTACTGGGCAGCATTTTCTTACGTCGTCAGTTCCCTGTCTTTGTTGTCATTGACTATCATGCTCCAAATTAGCTGGTGAAAAGCCATAGACAGCTCCCAGATGAGCCTGTGGTCATTCCCTGTACATCCTCTTTCCAAATTTCATGCCAGAAGAGTTTTCTTTCTGCAATCTCATCCTACCATGTACAGCCTACATCTCATTATAACAACTCTATGCAATCCCTTGTCTTCCTCTTGCCCATTAAAATCTAACCAACTCTCAATCACTTCTTCTCTGACATGCTCTTATTGCTTTGATGCTGTCTGGTTTTATGAAAACTGCACCCTTCTTTCTCTGTGTTTGAACATAGCCACTAAATTGTGTTGTCTCAATCCAACTTTGTTTTTCTGTTTGCTTTTTATAATATCTGACTTTCAGTGATGAAGGTGACAATTTTTCTCCTTTCTTTCTCTCTTCTTCTGTCATTAACATTGCAGTGATGTTCTCCATATTCCATGTGCATTTCCATGGATAAAACAGTAGATTTTGAAAGTCAAGACCATCAGGCTGTCAGT